GTTTCAGCTAATTCCCCATCCAACCTGTAGGTTATGCTAAGCAGGCACAGTTGGACAAACCAGTGGACAACTTGATACAGCACTTTCTCTTTTAAAAACACTCTTTTGCTGCACTGTTAATTTACAAGTGTGCTTACTGAATGAGGGATGATTTTTTTAATACACAGACATCTTTGAGGAAGTCTATTGCACACAGCAGATTGAATAGATAAGTGTCACCTTGACCAAATGCATATCAGAGGACATTTCAGACTCATGTTGGGTTTCCACTTTCTGCTTCTCTTCTGAGCATCATCCTGGGAGAATGGAGCATGTGGCCAGCTTTGCATTCTCCTGCCATGGGTGTTGTTTTCCTTTACCTTAGGGAGGATTTTGCCACAGTTTCTTAAAACAGCCTGGTACCCAAACCAAGGCTCAGAGTGGACTGCAGTGGATGAATAACTGGCTGGACCACTGGTCTAAAAAAGTGATAGTCAACATTTCAAAGTCTCTGTTCTAGGTGGCATTTCAGAGGGTGCTAGGGTGACACCTCCATCAGGGACCTGGTGAGCCTAGATGTCCAGGCAATCTGTGGATCTTCCTAACTTGGAGGGGAGAGACTGATATGCCCAGAGTATGACTCCCATTCTGAAGGACTTTGCCAGCCAGACTGGAGGGTTGTGCTAGCAGGAGATTTGGGAACAAAGGCAAATACAAAATCCTGCATCTGATAGGGGAAAGGAAGGATGGATGAAGTGAATAACCCATGCAGTGGTACAGGTCAGTGACTGACTGATTGGGTTGCAACTCTACAGAGAAGGACATGAGGTCTAGCAAACACCACATTGGATGTGTCTCTCCACCCTTGTGATGAAGGATAACCTCATAAACAGTTGCATTAATTAGAGCACAGCCAGCAGGTTGAGGGAAGTTCTTATTCCCCTCTGCTGGTCACTAGTGAGGCTGCATCTGGATCATAGCTTCCATTTTTGAGCCCTGACAATAAAAACAGAATTGTCAAAGAAGCAGAGGAAACCCAGTGGAGGATTATCAGGATGGTTGGAAGCGTTCTTGGATTTCTGGGAAAGACATGTGATGGATGAGGTTGGCTATAGCACTTATTTGACCTACAAAGTAGAGTGAGGGGTATCTATTTTGCATCTCCAACTATTTAAACAGGGTTTATAGACAGCTCAGATTTGTATGGTGAAAGACAAAAAAAGGTAACAAGTGGGAAAATTTTAACTAGCCATAAGGAAAAATATTTTTCATCATAAGAGTGGCCAAACAATAGAACTAACTGTTGTCTGTTTCTGAGATTTTAATAATTTATTACTCAATTATTGAACAATAAAAAAAAACGTTCTTCAACTTACAACTGTGTTTTAACTATCGATTCAGGGCAAGTTCTTTTCCCCTAGAACTATTACACAGCAGTGCTCCTGCCATTATTTGAAGTGACCCAAATATAGAAGCTGTTTCTTAAAGCCAAGTAGAATTTGATGAAAATGGCAGTTTAAATGACATACTGACATTTCAAACTCTCGTTATCACTCTTATATTATTACCCTTTCAGAGTTCTCTATGTAAACTTACCATAAAAGTAATACAATCACAGTAATTTTTTGATAGTGATCACATTAGAAATAAAATCCTATAAAGGCATAAAATGCTTTTTTCCTTGTTTATGCATGGTAATCTAATATGCCCTGGCATGTTAGTAGGCTGTAAGTGAAAGCATTAACTTTAAACAAGGAGATATCATTGAAATGGCCAAAAGCATTGCCCAAACACCTGTTGCAAGTATAAATTTCCTGTTGTATGTATAAAGTATTAAAAAATCAAAAGTTTAAAGCAGTGTTAAGGAACAAATTAAATAGAAAGTTTGCAGATGACACAGGAGTTGGACTAGATGATCCTCAAGGGTTCCTTCCAACTCTGATTATTCTGTGACTTTCATAAAATGGGTGTATTTTCTTCTTATATGTAGAATCTATCAATGATTAATACTATTGACCTCTGAGCATGAACACTCCTTTCAAGTAAATAAAGATTGAGAGCAATGTATAACAGGACTTTGGACCTTATCGACAGTTTCATAGGATTTCAGATTTCAAGAACACATTTTTACTTTACACAAAAGGCAGACAGTGAAATCCTGTCACCACTGAAGTCAATGGAATCAGCTTTTTCTCTTGAGGTCTTTTTATGAATGTTGGCTTTACAGATGCTGTTGATATATCAAGTAAATATTGCAGATCTCTCTTGAATAACAAACAGAAAAATAGAGTAACCACTGCATGGAAAAATTATACGGACCTAAAGTAATTCTATAATAGACTTGGGATTTTGCAAGTCATAGAATCATAGAATCAACTGGGTTGGAAAAGACCTCCAAGATCATCGAGTCCAACCCTACTGTGGTCACTAGCCCATGGCACTAAGTGCCACATCCAGTCTCAGCTTGAAAACCTCCAGGGATGGTGAATCCACCACCTCCCTGGGCAGCACATTCCAATGCCTGAGCACTCTCTCTGCAAAAAATCTCTCCCTAATATCCAGCCTAACCCTTCCCTGGCAGAGCTTGAGGAGCTAAGTCATAGCTGAATAAGGGTAATGAGGACATACTTTTAGCACTTGCATGCAATGTCTATTTGAGGCTATGCAGGCACATATGCCCCACGATTCTGACTCACTACAATTCTGAGAATGCTCATAACATCTTTCACACATCATGACCTAAGCAAACACTAGCATTACTTGAAAGGAAGACAGTAGGTGTTGGAAATTATTGGCATATCTCTTGGTTAGGTTTCAAATGAGTATCCTTCAGATCTCCTCCATTTACAAAGCACTGGTTGTAGAGGATTTCAAAAGGAGAATGTCCCATATTAATTTTCCTGCTTTAGTTAACTGGACTACATTCGTTTATTTCAACACTGAGGCTGCACATTCAGCTTCATGTTCATGACCTTGTTGGAAAAACAAGACTTGCCTGTGCCAGTAGAACCTTATTAATTTTCATAGAATCATAGAACCATAGAACCATCAAGGCTGGAGAAGTCTTCTAAGATCATCTAGTCCAAATATTAACCTGTCACTGCTGCAACCCCTAAACCCTAACCCAGATCCTCCAGTGCCACATCAGACACCTCTGAAACACCTCCAGGGATGGTGACTGCACCACCTCCCTGGGCAATATCCCAGTGCCTGAACACCCTAACAGGGAAAAAATAATAATATGCTCTGCCTCAAGAGAGAATTGATGATGACTAACAGATTGCTTCTGCTCTCATTAAACCAATTATCTAGGGTGATAACCACTATGGTCCTAGAGTTTAGATATGTAAAAGTAGTAGGGAATTGGCCACTGAGTTTAGACTTCAAGAAAACTGTGTCCTTCTTCAAAGTCAAATAAAATTGGCACTGAATTTTCATACTGGGCAAACTTGGTTTTCTTGACTGTCTTTTATGAAATTCTCAATATCTAATTATCCTAAGTGCTTCTTGTAATTGTTGTACTATTTAAAACAGAAGATACATCAGTGACTGCAAATTGTGGAATGGGTTATTTAAACAGGGCTAACCACAGAATTTAACAATTCCTGCTTGCAAACATCCCAACAGCACAGATCAGGAACCTGAAATCTAACTGTTAGTGTTCTTCCAAGCTCACATAAGCAACACAGGCTATAAAACAATGCTGTTTTTTTGCTTCATTAATCATTAAGAACAATTATTGTTCATCTAGTCCCAGCACTGGACAAAAGAGGTTTGGAAGCTCAGTACATTTTTGCTGATCAACTCCAAACAAGCTATGAAAATAAAAGATAAAGGCAACATGCAAATGCTTAAAGCCATTAAATGTCGACTGATTACCTCCTTAGAGCTGAGTGTCTCATTTTCTGGAATAGGCACCATGGGATGACTGGGCTGCCAAACCAAGATGTCACAGGTTGGAGAGAGCATGAGGTTGAAAACAGGAAAAAGAAATCCATTATCAGGTCAGTTTCTATATAAAATATTAGTAAAGCTTATCAATTAAAGCAAATACCCTCATATGTAGAAAGGATAGCAAGACAATGAGATCATAGAATCAACCAGGTTGGAAGAGACCTCAAAGATCATCCAGTCCAACCCTCCCGTGGTCACTAGCCCATGGCACTAAGTGCCACATCCAGTCTCAGCTTGAAAACCTCCAGGGATGGGGAATCCACCACCTCCCTGGGCAGCACATTCCAATGCCTGAGCACTCTCTCTGGAAAAAATCTCTTCCTAATCTCCAACCTAACCCTCCCCTGGCAGAGCTTGAGTCTGTGCCCTCTTGTCCTGCTGCTGGTTGCCTGGGAGAAGAGACCAACCCCCCCCTGACTCCAACCTCCTGTCAGGGAGTTGCAGAGGGGGAGAAGGTCTCCCCTGAGCCTCCTCTTCTCCAGGCTAAATGGATCTCATTGCCTTCAGGAGATTCTCTCTTACTATTCTCTGTCTGTATGAAAATCAATTTCAAGTTATGGCCTATCTTCTGTTATATTATATTCCCATAATTAAATGGATGGGGAAGGGATAAATCCTTTTGAATTTCAAAGAAGCATCTCAAGTATAAAATCACAGCAAGGGCACCTGCCTTATGATGCATTTAGTGTGTGATAATGCACATGACATTATTTAAAACTGCAACTGTATTTCTGTCACTTTTTCCTTGTTAAATCTCCTCCAAAACAGTTTTCCTTAATCTGCAATTTCACAGACATAAATCATGCAAACATTTAACTGAAAAACACTGTGTAAAAGTAATTACTCTGCAGAAAGGAGTTTCAGAGCTCAATAACTTTCCAGTGTTTTAAATGTTACGTCTTGCATCTGAGTAATGAAGTTTGATGGATATGACAATTTCATACCAATTTCAATGAGATTTTTAATTAGAATACAGGTAAAGAGATAAGATGGAGCTTAAAGGGGCAATGTTAAGATCAGAAGCTGGTGACATTTTCCAATAGAGTGACACAGAGACACCCTCTTCAGAGCAAAGGTTGCTGAAAGTGTTGGTATTTGAGTCTTTTATAACTCTGGAAAAAAAAGACTGGAAGAAGCCTGTTATTTTCATTGTATCAAAGGCATTAATTTGCTTTGGCATTTAGATCAAATAGTAAATCAACAAATTGTGTATTGCTTAAAAACACATTGCTCTTCGTCTAAGAAAATTGATTTGGACACTGTGCTTTTTGAGAAGCAAAACTGATCTGCTAGACTGGTCCTGTATAAAAAGAAAGATACTGAAGTGGAATATACTTCAATTTTCTGCAATTACATTATGGATCTGCTATGTATTGCTCTCTCCCTTTGTAAATGTGCCCTGATTTCTTCTCAAGGAAGAAGGAATCAACTCTAGCAACAGCAGCAGCTTTGAACCCTTTAACTTAGAGAGAAGTTTGAGTCTTTGAAGGATGAGATGCACACTGTAATCCGCTCTCTCACTGCCTGGGCAAGAACTAAAGGAGGGCGTTTGACATCTTCATGTCTTGTCTGCATGGTGGTCAGCTCAGAGTGTTCAGAGGACACTTACCAGGACAGAGCACCTACCCAAATAAACTCAGCCTTGTGCCTCAATCATACTACAACTTACAGCCCCGAGCATGGGGGAAAGATGCTCACAGAATACGATTACCTCACTGCAAAGATGAGCTATCGATATCAGAGTAGCAGATAGTCAAATTAAAAATACCAAAACATGAAGCAGAATCATAGAATCATAGAATCAACCAGGTTGGAAGAGACCTCAAAGATCAT